TCTCTTCTCACATTTTAACATTTTCTGGCGGGGAGCATGCACTTGGAGCCGGTTATTATTGCTCGACACGCGAATTCGATATCACAATCCCGCGGATCACCGTACTCGAGAAACTCACGGCTCGTCGTCCGCCGTTTACCTATCCGTCGAGCGTGACTTTCGTGACTTCGCGTCTCCATTATGCTAATGTCGGAATCGAGGGTGAAAAACTCGGATATAACATCGCGCGTCTGGTTTATTATCGTTAATTGCGAAAAAGCATCCTGTTTCTTGATTCAGAAATACACACACATACACAGAGAGAGAGAGAGGAGAGTTTCACTTATCGAAGGGGAAAGGAATGGAATGTTGTCAGCCGCCATTGAGACGTATCGGTCTAAAACCGTTTTTCTATACCGTGTTTCCGATCCATTATCGTCCACGGTTGAAATTGTAGAGAGAGAGAGAGAGAGAACTGTTCGAAGTGAGCAAATCATTGGGAAGGGAAAAGCATGGTATTTGAAATACGAGTGATCGTCGAGATTTGCATTCTGATCAAGTTGGTAACGAGATCGACTTAAATTAAAAGAGCAAAAATGCAAATTAATACATTCGTGGAATACTAATGGGGAGAGGGGGTCGGTTCTAGACATCGAAAGAAGAAGGAGGATATAAAAAAGTTCGTATATATAAGGATCGTTGGAGGCTTGCTTTTCGAGTTATTAAGCGTTTTAATTCCACCTCGGCTGCGAAGCGCCTAGGCAGCAGGCAACCGGGATGGTACACGGCTTTGACCGCGGTAATACTTTAATCGGTGTTATCACGATCCCATGATCATAATTGGAACTGGTGACTGCGAGTTTGCAAGTTTCGTAATGAAGATATATGCCGGAGGAACGACGAGCACGGGGGTTTCGTGTTTGACAAAAACGAGGGAAAACAAGCTACCAGAATTTCAACTTGTTCGCTCATCAATCATAAGATATGATCCAGATCCTCGTTTCGCGGAAGAAGAACAAGTTCGGCTCGCATGATTGCCTCTCTCTATATCTCACTTAACGAGTTCTATGCAAATTTGTTAACCCTTTAAATATTTCAGCATCCTATGCGAATAATTATTATTTCTTTTTTTTTTTTTTTAACATTACCATCGAAACGAGTATACAAAGATGTATATCTTTCGCTTATATCGTTTACACGTATTTAATTGGATTTTATTTCATCTTCTATTCGTTCTTTTTTTTTCTCGTCACGAATTTGTCACGTTCCACGTGGAAATATCGGACTCGCTACGTTTTAAGGAGCGTTCTAAGGAGCGTTCAAGAGTCGTTCCACTGTTTTATGCGAAATTGCCCCGTCTGCTTGTCACTTGCGGCTAGCCGCAGGCGGTTCGTGGCCTGGCTGCGTGCACACGCATAATCAAGCCGCGACAGTTGAAAATTACCAGGTGTCCCTTGGACGAAACGTAAAGGGAGGACGACGCTGCTGGTTAATTAATTAAACAGGAAACACCGACCTTGAGCATCCTTCACGACGAGGCCTTTCCAGCCGAGGGGTCGTTAATACAGAGAAAAATTACACGTTGCGTTTCTTTCACAATGCCTGATCGATATACTACTCGATTCTTTCTCGATATACAACAACATTCTGAAAAAAAACATTACCAGCTTTTTTGCAACGCGTCCTCTATCGCCATCTCTCCAATATCTCTTCAATATAGTCGATTACAATCTCCTTCGATCTCGTCATTTTTCAACAGGTCTTACTATCGATCTTGTCTCTCGAACCAGTGTTAACGCGTGTATCAACTTGAGAAAAGCAAATTCGGTTCTGAAGAACATTACATATTACAATATATCACAATTTCCTTCGTAATTTTTCAAGACGTTTTATTATTAAGTGTTCGAGTAATAAAGAATTCTGAACAAATGATCGATTTTGTTCTTCGTAGTTTTACCAAGTATCTAGATATATCCAAGAATAATTCTGTTTACAAATGATCGACATCTGTCGTTTGTTCAAGTTTAAGATATGTAAAAAAAGAAAAGAAAAGGAAAGCAAGTTCAACGAGATTCGATTCTGAGAAACGTTATAAATTATTCGATATACATGGGCTGAAACAAGGAAAAAAATTAAATTTCGAATATCTTCAAAGCGGTTGCTTAAAGAAAAGATTATCGAAAAAAAATTATAGAATTTCATCGATTGGAGTTTTACAAAATCACCGATTCAGAATGTCGATCGACCAAAGGTGGTCCGACAAAATATCAACGTTAAATAATAAATATATGAATACTTTTCTAACCTATTAATAATTGTATATAATAAATGTATTGTAACTACTGCATCAATTGGTGAATCATTTTCAAATTTTATTTCGATACAATCTTGAGATTTTCCTTCTACTATACACCCCTCATTAAACAACGAACTCAAAAATTGCAAATGTAAACGTTCGAATGCTTTCGTTGGACAAATATAATCGATTTAGTTTTCAAAACGTTTTACTAGAATCTCGAAGCGTTATAAATAGTTCTCTTTCAACAAACCATACGAAATTTGTCGTTCTGCTCTCTTAACTGCGGTTTATAAACCACGTACTAAAATTATAGAGGTTGGTGTGGTATATAAACGACATGTAAATTTTTGCCAATATCAAATAGCGGCTTATGTACCACTGAGATAAATATAAAATTCGTACTAGAAAAAATTTCTAGATATAATCCAATATATTATACACGTAATGCATTCTTATTTTTGTAACTCAGCTTTAATATAAATTTTCAAATTTCAATAACACGAAGTATTAACGTACTTACTTATACTTTTTGAAATTTATAAAATAATCGTATCGTCCACTATTATGATTTTAGTAAAATATTTTTCTTTTCGAGAGATCGACCGTGCTGTTAAGCAGTTAAAGGCAGTTGAAGAAGAGTTGTTTTCGAGTGTTCCAAGAATTCTCTCAATGCTGGCAACTCGAGTTTATCATAATTTTCATAATGAACGGTCGAAAGTCGAGCGAAGCTGATCGAAAGGGGGAGACCGGAAGCCACGGTTTGTTCAGCCGTTGAACCTGGTCTCGTTCAATTCCGCTCACGGAGCGGCTCCCAGGCAAACGAGAGCCATTACATCGTCGTCGTGCTAGGATGACGTTACGTATCCCCGGGCTCTCTCCACCACCATCTTCTCCTCTTTCGCTCGTTTTCCGATTCCCTCTCGTTATCTCCTCCTCGCCCTTCGAACGAGACACGAGATGTTTAAACTCCTCCTCGCCCCAAACCTTCCTGATTCGCGAATATAGAAGACGTGGATGGACAACTTTGACGATTTTTCTTTTTCCAACGATTAGTTGGACGGTTTCTAACCTCTCCAAAGTCATAACTTCTGAAAATTCGAATTACTTTACCGCTCGTGGCGCCATCTGAAACAGCGTTCTTTCGTTTTCAGGAAGACGAGCGCTCTAAGAGTTTCCTTTGTGACGATTTCGAGCGATACGGAAAAGGATTTGGAAATTTGGAAATTTGGAAGACGACGATCGTTGAAGCGCGAGACGAGTCGGCAGAAAGATCGGGAGACAAGCAGTATGCATTCGACTGAAACAATCTTGGGTACGTGATTCGTGTAACAAAATCTTGAATTTGAAAAAGAGGAAAGAACTGTCCATGTTAATCTTTTTTTCTATTAAGGAATAACAGTTTATGAAACGTTTCGATTAAAACGAGGAATACAAAGTGAGAAAGGATGTATCTGATAAAGGAATAAAGATATAAAGCCTTGCTTTACTATATTGAATCAGCGAAATTAATAACGGAAGTTACGAATAAAGTTACTTCGATAATTTAATTTTGTTCGAAACATAATTCGAATTCGAAATTCGAAACACAATCAACTATTTAACAAGTAAAAAGTTTCCCAAATTTTTAACTGTCGTTACCTTTTCAACTTTTTTTTTAGGTTATGTCGCCAGTTCAAAAAAGCGGAAATTCGCCCAATTCATAAATAATACAAGATATACATACAGAAATAATGTTACAGCTCGTGAAACGACACGATTAAAACAAGTCGAATATAAAAGTGAGAAAGGATGTATTTGATAAAGGAATAAGGGAATACAATTATTCGAACACCTAATAATTAATCTCTATGCAACCTCACGTTCTGTGCGCGATTAAATAAAACGATTGTCGCGGTTGACTGCAGCTACCAGATTAAATCTGGTATCCAAGGAAAACGCGGTTAAAACAAGATATTCAAACGGAATATCGTTTCCGTATCCGATAATAAGTTGTGCGTCGAAAGTGCACAATTACGACACAATTAAGAAGAAGAGGAGGAGGAGATAATGTAACGTGTAACACGCTCGTGTAAATTACGTTACGCTCCCTTCGATCGGGATGAAAGTTTCATCCGGCTAGGCAAGGCTAACGACAACAACAACAATAACAACAACAACAGCAACAATAATTCGTAATAAGGATACGAGCGCTTCCTGGATGGCAGGCAGACGCGTTTCCTGGACCATATGCCGCGCTACGACGAGAGCGCAGGAGAAGAAGAGGAGGGGTGTATGGCGGCGATTAAACGAACAAGGAGTCGTGGCCAACAGGGAAACGCTCGACCACCTTTTATAACGGCCACTAAAACGGCTTCGTTAATGCCTCGACCCGGCCTGGGGATCCTGTAAATTTAACGATTCGAGCTCGACTCGAGACGAGCTGCTATCCTGCCCCATAACTGGTGCACGCCTGTCTCCCCTCATCCTCGACCACTCGATAAAATATACGGCCGAGGTGTAAGAAGGTTCCGATCTCGAGGAGGGGAGGAGGGAGGACACGGAAGCGCGAGGTGGATCAAAGACGAGCCAATATTCTTGGAAGGGAAAAAAAGGTATTATTATTTAACGATCCCGACGAATACGGCGATGATAAAATAATGATTGACGCGTTCTTCCCTTCTTTCTTCCCTTCCAGGGAATCTAAATAAAGGAATCTATATATACTACTTATGGTTCTACTCACGAGTTAGAGGTAGAGCGTGCTAACGCGTCGGGGTGCCACCACGGTGACGGCCAGGCGTGGTCCGCATTTGGTCGGCGGCAGGGGTGCCGCTGTGGCTGGTGGCGGGGTTTCCGGTCTCGCGCAGCCGAGGCCACTTCCGCCGCGTAGCTCCCACACCAGATTCGTCAACGAGCGGGGTCTGCTTAGACGCCTCGATCTGAGCGGAAACAACAACACGCTTTCGCTTGAATGCCTCCTCTATCGCGCTAGAGAGAGATAGAGATAGATAGATAGATAGATAGAGAGAGAGAGAGAGAGAGAGAGAGAAGACAGACAGAGATATTGATTTCTCTTTTTTCCTTCTTTCTAATTTTTCGTTTCTTTGGATATACAATCTTTGAGAGAGAGAGAGAGACTAACTTCTCTTTTTTTCTTTCTTTTTAATTTTTCGTTTCTTTGAACATGCAATCTTTAAGAGAGAGAGAGAGAGATTAATTTCTCTTTTTCTCTCTCTTTTTAATTTTGGACATCTAATCTTT